GTTCGTATACGAACATAAACTGTACTTTTTTTCTCTTTCTTCTTTGCTCTTTATTTGTTCTCAAATATTTTATAGATAGTGTTTGCGTTTGACGTTACGTCTTGGAGACGCTCGAGAGCGCGTCTCAATTGAGTGGGTAGATGTGTCAATGGGCATATCATCTTACGTGATATCTTTCCTTTCTCTATATGTTGCTGTACAATCGATATTACGTAGTTTGCATATATGATTTTTTTCTTTTTCTTTTCTCTTTTTCCTTTTCTTCTATCTTTTATCCTCTTTCTGTTCGTTTTGTCTTTGTTCATTTTTATGTACTTCTCTCATATCTCATGCGCCAGTTAGCCTTAACTCAAGACACTCGGGAGCGCGTCTCAATTGAAGGAAAGAATATGCCAAGAGATAAACCGATGTGACATGCTATCACCAGTATGTGACATCATCCTTACGTTATTTCACTTTTACTTCATATCATCCTTGCATGATGTCAACCTTGTATTCTCACATAATACTGTTCATAGTGTTGAATACTTTTTCAATAACTTTGTAATCGCTGCGGTATTCAATGCACATATGCTCATTGTTCTTTCTTCACTCTGAGAGATTACCACATCAAACAGATGCAAGGACAAATTGTTGAGAAGAAGAGAGAAGAGACGAGAAAAGAACGGTTGAGAATATTCACAGTCGATATCGTGTAGTGTCAAGGAAACAACACACTCGACGTTATACACCTTTTTGGATAGTATACATAGTTGGTGTAAAAGTTAGATAGATATATAATAATGTGTATTAATATTGAGAGAGAAATAAAATCATGTACAACAAGTAACGGAATTGAGCTTGAAGAAATAATAAACAAGGTAAGGTCTTAAAATACGTGATCCCACAACGCGGTCATCAACCTTTCTGCATCATATCCTTCGCTTATTCTCAATTTTTCATTACATTATCGTTGACGAAGAAATGTTGCTATCAATTGTTGTATACATAATTATAGATCCATTGAATTTTTTCGACTTTACTCGTTACATATGTTTTATCGATATCAATAGTATTTGGTTTTAAATCAGTTACTACCAAGTAACCAGTACCACTTGTATCGCCAATCAAAATAAATATTGCTGTTTTAGTCGTATTTTGGTTTTCGTATTGATACGGAGGTTGAATATGGATTATTGACACTTGAATTGTACTTGTTTCTGTTGACATTAAAGCATCATATAAAACCAATATTTCGTTGTTTCGTATATTCAATGCAAAAGATGCACTAGCCAATTGAAATTGATTTCAAGATTGCATAGAAAATGTTGACAAGTCTATAAAAAAGAACTATCGACATTTTTGCTTATATAATGGCCAGTCTTCTAATGAAACAATTTTATTAATCTTCTATTCAATTGATGTGAGTTAAATGATTATTTACTTTCATTGGATTCATGATTACATATTCTCTAAATAATATGTTCTTAACCTTAATGTAGAAACAGCAAACTATTGATATTCGAGTTCCATCTTGAACGCTAGAAATAGATTATTAGCAATCTTAGAATAGCTTTTCACTTGCAAATCTTCATCTTGAAGATGAAAGACAAACTGTAGCATTATGAACTGAAATTTGAACATAAAAAACTATATAATTATCAACTTTTGGATGAAATTAGCTTCAGAATCCTAACGTTAGATGTGACAAACAAACTTTGGCGCTGTGATTCGAAATCTAAGTTTTATAATTAATCAAATATCTACTAATATTAGAATACTTTTTTGCTTGAATATCCTAACCTTGGAAATGGAAAATTAACTTTGGAGTTGCAATCTTCATTTTGATCAGTATAACCTTTAATAACATTAACATACATTTTTGTTGAAGTATCCTAACTTTAGAACACAAAAATAAACTGTAGAGATAGAAAAACAAATCAAATCTGACTTATATTTTTTAAAGATCTCCTTTAATGATCATAAATCTAATAGGAAAATAATCATATACTTATTTATAAACAATGTCTTTGTCAAAAAGCAAATCATTTGAAAATTAAACGACAAATATGTTTACAAAAATCACTCATTAATTTTTTAATATGAATTAAACGAAAAAAGTACCTGAAATAAGACTAAGCTCCAACCAATGCCGGTAAGGGGAAAATCTTACCGCTTGCAATTGTGTCTTCACCACCATTGTTGCATTGCCTTAACGGGGCTCCCTTAGAAAATCGAATTTTTCAAAAAAATATCGAAGTTGAGTTTTTATCACGAAAAGATGCAGCGAAACTTCATCTTTCAGAATATATATGGTTTTTTAGAAAATAACCAGATTTTCAAAGACTCATGGCATGAAACTTTGACTCTACTGCCATATTTTCGGAGGAATCTTCGTGGTTTTTAAAGTTTTTCGATTTTGGAAAAGCGGCGTTGCCACTTGCATTATCATTGAATAGAACATTTTTATATTAATCAGTACGTCAGGTGGCGTTAAGTACGTTCATCCATTATATACTTTAAAGCGGCCCACTGGAATATATTAATAATATACCGTTGTAATACGATTTATTCTAGAATTGAATGAAAAAATCCATTTCTAAAACTTCTCTAGCTTTTTTCTCAAAACACGGTTTCTAGGCAGAAAAATTGAAATAACTCCGTCTCGGCTCGGGATAACATCGACGTTGTTTTTTTGTTTTAAAGATCGCAGTCAGAGCTGTTAGGGTTTGCGCTCACGAAAAGTGATGAACACAGTTAAAGATGTATGTGTTTTCTTCTCTCTCTTTTTATTCTTTGAGAAAATAAACGTTTATATACGCACATAAAAAGACAAGGACAAAATAAAAAAGAATGTAAAAAGTTAATTAAGGACAAAGAAAAGCAATAGAAACAAAATAACAAAAACGAAATATCAAAGAAAAGAGAACAGATAGAATTGAGGTATATTCTATAGGAATGCACTGTAACATACTCTATTGAACAAAATATATGTACTATTAACATTTTTAGACAGAAAAACAAGAATAATATAGAAATGAAAAATGTGTAATATCAAATGCAAAAAAAAACAAGCTATAACGCGCGAGAATCTTTGAAATAAACGGTTAGGATATGAAAAGAATCAAATGAAAACGAAATATGAAAAAGAAAAAGGGAAAAAAGTTCAACAATTTAAACAAGTAACAGAAAAATACCACATATTTAACGGTAATACGTGTAGACATAAACAAACAAAAGTTATATAGGAGAAAGAAAAGAAAAAAAGAAAGTCCACCGTTATAATAAAAATTGATCTTCGTATAGAGAAATGAACAAATATAAGTCAGATGTTGTTCGACGTATAAAGTTGACTTTTCTTTTGATATTGTTTAACTTCATCAACTAGTTTTTTCATAATTAATTGTGAATAACGTGATATATAATGTAGTAATTTTGTTTGTTTTAAGTGGCAAGAAAAATAATATATGATTTGTTGATTGTATAATATGCCAAAAACAGGTTACGAAATATTGATTTCTTTTTTGATTCTCAATTTCCAAAATAAGAATCTGTTAAGAATAAATGAATACTGAATATATTCAAAATTGTATTTCGTTTAATAGAATAATAAAATATTAATAGATATATGTCAAATTGAACATAATAGCCCTTCACAATCAGTGAGTGGAGAAAAGTCACACTGCTCAACCATGCTGTGCTAAGTTATATTGGATCAGGTTAATCTAATAATAAATAAATATTCCATTCGGTTTGACATATTCATTAATATGACGGCATTCTTTGTAAAAGTTCTTCAAAATAATAAGTTCGTCCGAATAACAGAAACTCCACATCAATTATAACTGGCAAATATTGTGTGTTTTTTAATGTGTTTAACGAAAACATTTTTTCTATTCAATATGTTCGAGTTCATGGTTGAGAGATGAAGAAATTCGCTTGTGTATTAAATTGAATTGTAATCTTGTCACGAGTCACAATTGGTTAGTTGTTGTAATAATCGATGGTTCGGCCTTCCATAGTTGTGAACTATCAGAAGGAAGCCAGAGTCGCCAAATGTTAGGGTCTGCGCTCACGAAGAGCGACGAACACAGTTACAGATGTATGTATTTTCTTCTCTCTCTCTTTATTCTTTGAGAAAACAAACGTTTATTTACGCACATGAAAAAACAAGGACAAAATAAAAAAGAATATCAAGGTAAATCAAGGACAAAGAAAAGTAATACAAATGAAATAACAGAAATAAAAATATCAAAGAAAAGAGAATAAATAGAATCAAGGTATAATGTTATAGAAATGCACTATAACAAGAGTTAACTTTTCATTGGACGGATTTTTGATACTTGATTCCTGGACTGAGAAAAGTGGGATTTACTATCGTGAAGTGACATTTTTTTATGCTTATTTTGAACACTATGTCCATTAAATGCTCATAAAAAATGAATGGAAAGAAGTTTCAAAATTCCATCCGATGAAAAGTTCCACACAGAGGCTAGCTTTAATTTGAAACAAGCCCGAGCTCAATATCCCCTATAATGACGGAATTATTTCGATTCTTCTGCAAGGTAGAAAAACAAGTTGGAAGTTCAGTTTAATAGGGTATATCAGACTGAAATTTTTACCACAAGCATTTCTCACTAGAATCACTCATTCCTGAAAGTTTCAGCCCGAACGGTCCATTCTAAGTGGTAAATCAATTCTGAGGGAATCCCCTTAAGTATTTGTTAGAAAGTTTGCTTGATTTTCTGCTACACGTATTTTATTTATTTGTATACACCATGTGAGAAGGAGATATATATTTGATATACACATCAAAGAATAAATGATAATTTTGTCCACCATTTATCTTTTGTCATCCTTACATGATCGGTTGAGTGCGCATACCTCTTTGTTTCATGTATAGATGAAGAAAAGAAAAACGCATAAGCTACTACTTAATCATCGCGAATTATTCTTTACTGAGGCGTTTGGACACACTTCTGTTCGATAGTTTTTGATACTCTTGTTGAAAAAAGCATTGAATGAGTAATAGACAACCTCTTTTAAATGCATCTAATAAATCATCTATTAGTGATGATGATGAAAATAATGGGAACAAGAAACAGCTTTCGATCAATAGGTATGATCTATTAAATAACCATCTTCAAGAAACATACAATGAATTTATCATTTTTTATAGGTTTCTTGATTGGCATCGATACTTCAGTACGAAGAAAAAAGATAAATATATTGAATTAGACGATGATACCGAATATAGTGACAAAGATACAGCAATTGATGCTTTTCATTTCGTAAATGTCTTCAGACGGAATACAAACCGATTGATACATTTGAATTTATTGTAGTTTCGGTTTGCAACTCGTATCGATTTTGTCCTAATGTTCATTGCTGTGTGTTTGATGGTGCTGGAGACGTTTTGTGTTCTCACTAATCGATTTGCCTTCGGTCGGTTCATAGGAATACTCGCTAATGAATCTTTTGGTGATAACTGTAATTATCAACACACAAATTCAACAACTCTAATACAAAACAACAATAGATATCCTCAGAGCATTGAGCTCAATACAATCAACAATACTTCTTTGCATAAGTAATTCACTAAAACCAGGGACGTAACGAGACTGAAGATTCACTAACAAAGATGAGAATTTTTTTCTATCAAGAACCATTGGGACTATGAAATTTTTGTTGAGAATTGCTCAGCTTGGTCTCAACTAGCAATGTGTACAACCGGACAAATCGCTCACGAAAAGAAAAGGCTAACTCTCGGCCAGTCTCGGTCAAGATTTTGATTTTTTCAATTTTTCGACCGAGACCGGCCAAGACTTGACCTTTTTTTCGTGGCCCATCTGTCCGGTTGCACACGTAGCTATCTGAGGCCCAGCTGAACAATTCTCAATAAAAATCTCGTAGAGTCTTTGGGGTTCTTGAGAGAGAAAACTCTCATATTTGTTAGTGAATCTTCAGTCTTGGGACATCCCTACTAAAAATTATTATTAACTATTATGTATTTCTTTTATTTTTCATTGATACTTTTCACCTTAGACTGCCTCATAATATTGATGTAAAACGGTTATTAACTTTGACTACACCAATTTCTTCATTGCATCAAGAAGTTATGACCGTAGTCCACTGGTTATTAAGTAAGTGAAATGAACTTCCTAATTTTATTATAAAAATAAAGGATATTATCTTTTTTTCTGTGTTAATATAGTTATTGGTGTTGCTCGATGGCTTTGCTGCTTGATTCAACATTTTATTTGGAATATTACTGTCAAGCGACAGATATTTCGTATGAATTCTGCCCTCTTTCGATCACTTATTCAGCGCGTAAGTCAATTCCATTCCATTTATAGAAAATTCTCCGAAGAAATTAATCCTAATCTTTTCTTAGAGTTTCTATAATCTTATAGCATCTTATGCTCATTCTCTTTAAGAAATTCACAATTCTAGCTAATTTACAACAAAGGTTAAAGTATTTTAATTAAACTTATATATAACTAATGTCCGCGCCAGAATAAAAGAGGGGTGAGTGTAAGCTCAATAACTCGACAACCGCAATAGCTAGCCACCTGCGGTTTTCACCAATCGAAAAAGAAGGAGTGGGAACGTCTTTTTCTCTGAAAATGTATAAGACGAAATCCTTTTAAAACTAATCATATTTGAAAAACAGGCAAAAGAACCGATGAAAATGACCTGCCAGCAAGATGAAATTTTGATTTTGACCTTTGATTTAGATAGAGGGACTTGAGATCTATAGTTCAAGACACAATGCAAATGATTGTCTTATTACATTCTAACGTTGAGCAAATGGAATCATGTACTTACATGCGCGAATACTAGGGAATTCTGCTGACTTTTTAATAATTTTTCGCACTTTTTATCTTAGTAGTTTGAGATTTCGATCAAAATGTAAGAAAAAGTTAGAAAGCGTATTGTGTCTTGAACTATAGATCTCAAGTCCCTCTATCTAAATCAAAGGTCAAAATCAAAATTTCATCTTGCTGGCAGGTCATTTTCATCGGTTCTTTTGCCTGTTTTTCAAATATGATTAGTTTTAAAAGGATTTCGTCTTACACATTATCAAAGAAAAAGACGTCCCCACTCCTGTTCTTTCGATTGGTGAAAACCGCATGTCGCTAGCTATTGCGGTTGTCGAGTTATTGAGCTTACACCCACCCCTCTTTCATTCTGGCGCGAACATTAGAGCTACCTGTAATTCTGGGAATTCCAGATCTAAAACTAAGAATTTACATTCACAGTACAGATGAATTATCGAGCTCGCTGTCACTCCCATATTACATACTTTCTTAGAAATTGATAGAACTATAATCATTTTGACGCTTTATAGAACAATCAAGACCATTTATTATTTTTCGAGGAACTATCAACTTCAGTAGACGATGATTCTACTGTTACGAAGACAGACATCTTCATTATTTGGGGATGAGTAGTTTGGCCGGAAGCCCCATTAATATTTTTTTTATTGTAAGGATAAAACATACTATTATTCGGGTCATATGAGAGAGGATACCACATAACCCTGGATTGGCCCGAACAATACCATGTTGTAACCTTACAATAATAGAAAAAAGCTACCAGGTCACACGATAAACAGGTAGCTTTTCTCTACTATTGTAAGGATAAAACATGGTATTGTTCGGGCCAATCCAAGGTTATGTGGTATCCTCTCTCATATGACCCGAATAATAGTATGTTTTATCCTTACAATAAAAAAAAATGAATGGGACTTCCGGTCAGACTGCTCATCTCCATTTATACACATCTAAAAATAGTAAAACTAGAAATATTTCAAGAAAACAGAAGTTTAAGAAATGTAATTGTAAAAAGACATCAAAGTAACAGTGATGGACTGATGTAGTTATTTCAATCGCTCTCCATATATCCTACGTTACTATTTATGTAAAAGGACTAACTCTTTATAAAGATGTACCACTTCAACTCGGAATTGGATTTAACTGTATAGTTTACTTCATTAATCCTTTCAATCTCGCATGTCATCTACAAGATGACATGCATATCGTAATATAGAAATTTTGCGTTCTGTCGTCTTCCTACATGATACACATAATATGTGTGTTCAAAGAAGCGCATGTATTCTTCGCTGCGACAATATTTTTCTTTTCGTACTGAGCTAGTGTAGCTAGAATTCATGTGCAACTGATTTTCTACAAAAGAACTCAAGGTAGAGAGAAATCTAGATTTTCTTCAACTTTGTATAGAACGAGAGAAAACGTTGGAATTGAAAGGGTTAATGAACGAAGTTGTAGTGGAATTGCACCAACTTACAAGAGTATTTTCCTCAGTGTCGTGTACCGATTTCAATGATTTTTTGTTCATATTTACTATATAGTATTCTAACAAAAATTCTAAAGAATTTCTGTCTCTATTGAGACTTTGTGAACTACTATTTGCCTCGACTGAAGGGAGGGTCATAGGACACAAAATGAATTTGTGGCTATGCTTGTCTGTTTGCATGCACGTGTCAAGTCATGAATCCGCATGTATCTGTGTAATTTATAGAGTTTGACTAATGGTAATCGGATTCGGGAAATCCAAGTTTGCTATCAACTTCTCGAAATTATCCACTGGATTTCTCGGTGAAATTTCCTACGACAGCTCTTCCTAGATTGAGAAGTCAAGGATAATATTTTGAGAAGCTGATAGCAGATTTGGATTCTCCGACCCAATTACCTTTGATAAAAACTTACTAGTCAGATCCTGGTCAAATCGAGTTAAATCCAATCAAACCAGTCAAATCTAATGTCTAGATTCGACGGGATTTGGATGCGGTGCACTTCCAGTTACGTTGTCTATAAATGCAAAAGTAACCTTTGACATGATGCTTCAAAAATTGATTCATCACATCATGGGATAAATGTTCTTGCCATATGCTTCAACATTCAGTAATAACCATGTCTCAGAAACGCAGTATAATAGTGAAACAGAAGTCAAGCATAATTTCTATCGAGATTCAGATATAGACACGACCAATTGAGAGAGTGATTTAGCGCTCACAATATGAGAAAAGTGAAAATGGCTCATGCTGATTTGCCGACTGGCCTGGTCTGATCTGGCTGATTTAGGCCAGTGCCGTTATCGGTAAGGAAAAAACCCTACTGATGACAACTCTATTATGTAGTACCTATAGGTGAAAAACCACGAGAATCGGAACACAACACGAGGAGCGGTTTCCTTGTTACATCATAATTAAAGTAAAGTTTGATACTTCATAAGCATAGTCAAAGTGGAATTACTGCCGGCTTCGATCGAAGTTGGAATGGAAATATCCATGTAAAAATAAAAGTACAGAAAAGTACTGAAGATTCACTTATTAGTTACTTTTGTCACCTAGGGATGTGCAGTTTCAGTATACTAATCACCGATAAAGTCACACTGGCGTTCACTGAACCAGTGCATACACTGACACCGACTGCGCTTGTTGCACTGGCGCACACCGGAACAGATAAGAATTCTGCCTCTTACGAAATCTTACTTTCTACGAAGCTCAAAAGAGTTTTGATTTCGTTTCAAAAATCTAAACTGTTTAGAGTTTCGAAGGGCACCTTTTTTTCAGTGCATTCGGGTTGCATAACATCACTAAGAGTAAATAAAGCGAAAAATTTATGTAATCGTAACGATACAAATAGTTTTACAAAGTCCACATAAATTTTAAGAAATGCTCATCTTCTTTAAATGAATCTGGTTGAGTCATAAAATACCGTAGTTATGTATCAATATTAGGATTATAAGTGGCGTGTTTCGTTGAAATTGACTTTATTATTCAAAATTATAGATTACTTAAATGAATCCTATTTTTTGGGGGAATAGGTATGGTCATTTCGCTAATTTTGTTGATAATTATAAATAAAGTCACGAGCAGTGAATACTTTGATAGAGTTGGTGACTTGATACTTCAGTGAGCATCACTGTTCCAGTAAACTCTGACATCGGTGCAGTCAGTGTTAGTGTATCCACTGGCTCAGTGAACACCAATGCCAGTGCAGACAGTGGAACCAGTGCAGTCAGTATCAGTGTATGCACTGATTCAGTGAACACCATGTCGGTGCAGACACTGCAACTAGGGGTACGCAAGCTCAGCTCACGAGCTCCATTCAAATGAGCGAAAGAACTGTTCGAACAGTTCATTTTACATGAGCTGAACTGTTAGAACAGCTCATTTGAACGAACCGAACTTTTGAAACAGCTCATTTCATGAGCTGAACTGTTAGAACAGCTCATGCGAACGAACTGAACTTTTTGTAGGGGTACCCATTGGTCCTCAAGGGCTACCCTGTAGGGGTACCCATAGGTCCTTCAGGGCTACCCTATACGGGACACATAGGTCCTCAAG